AGTATTATGAATTTGAAAGATATTATGGATTTTGAAAGTTGGAGTATATAAAAGACAAATTTAAATAGTTGGTGTATTATTCGGATAGCCAAAAAGTTTGTATATTTTTTAAACAAATCAAATTAAGTTCATGTATTTTTCAGAAATTTTTCCGTTAATAATTTAACACTATTTCTCATATTCTGTTAACGGGTTAACGCCGTTAGAATCGAAGGTGTAAAACGTACAAAAATTTAAAATCTGAATATATAAAAGGCAATCGATAATACTTTATATATTATTCGAGTAACCAAAATAGTTCATGTATTTTTCAAGCAAATTAAATTAAGTTCCGGAATTTTTCCCATAACAAATTGTTTCTATACATATATATTAAAAAAAAAACTCTAGTCACCCAAAAAAAAAAAATCAGCCACTTTATCGTACCACACAATGGGAACAAAAGCAATTATAAGAGAGTGCCCATCACCTTCTTTGTCTTTGAAGTTTTCATTATTGATGAAAACAAACAGAAACAAAATATTTAGAAATGTAAGAAATTGGGTGGGGGGGGTAGGGGGGATTTTAAATAATTAACCTAGAAGTTTGATTAAAGATGTAAAAATGTGTTTTTGTTATTTTTAAACTGCAGAAATATTGTGATAAATCTGGAAGATCATTTTAAATTTGTGTTAGTTTTAAGTTTTGCCGTTAAATTAAAGTTTAGTAATCATATGTGGTTGCACTTATGAGTACTGTATATAGTTAACCAACGTAAAAGAAATGTCTTTTTTTTTTGGGATGCGAAGAAAGAGAATCAGGTCTCAGTCCAGTTCAAAGCTCGAATCTTTGAACTACATGCGGTTTATATAAAAGGAATTAGTATATAAMTATGTCTGTATATGCCTCTTTTAATATTATTTTATTATATATTCCCCATTTTCTTTCTTTGTAATATATAGAGAATATTAAGCATTCTTCGTGAAGCAATATTACTAATATTCGAAACCTTTTTTTTTTCCTTTTTTGAACGTTTGATCATCATTCGTCTACAAAGATCTCTAGGCATGATAGATTCGCAATTTTGATTTGCTCAGTATACGATATTTCTTTGATTCTTATTCTTCTTCCTTCGCGTAAAATCTAAAAACATTTGGAAATTTTGTTTGTACGTCGACCGATTCAATATTATGCATTTTTAAAAATATTTATCTATTGTCTATAAAAAAAAATCTCAGTATAGTCTCGTTCGGACCATAAACCATTCTTTTATGGCTCCGGTCCTTGTTTTAAACTATCTAACATGAGATTATATGTAAATATCCCATATATATATAATACCTGTGTACTGTTACCCGAAGTACTATTGAGCTATTCCATTTTAATATAGAAAATGAATAAATTATTCTCAATATTATATTCTAAATTTTCATGAAACGAACAATCAGACACAAATTATTTTTGCTGCAAAACTTGGAATGGAGGC